GGCTGGGGATTCAAACCCGCCACCTTAGGTGTATGTGGCTGGCGCCTTAGCCACTTGAGCCACAGGCGCCGAGCCTGAATATACCATTCTTAAGGTCTACAACACTGGTTCTCAACTTTCCTAATGCCTCAACCCTTTAATACAATTCCTGTGGGTCACAACCCACAGGTTGAGAACCGCTGGTCTACAACATGTAGAGCTGCCAACAAAAAAGGAGGTGAGAAGGGGAAATCACTGTTTGAACCAACATAGCACTTCTGATGTTTTCAAATAGTATTGTGAATATTACCATCGATGCAGGAAAATGATAGAGGGAAAAGCTGCTGAGGTACAGGAGGTGGCCACACAATGCAACTTCTTATCAACTCCACTTACCCCTCTGCAGCAGGCTCTGAGTCCCGGTCATCACAGGCTAGGTTGGCAGAGGATCTGGAAGATGCAGACAAAGCCCTCTGGGCACCACCTGCAGCTATCTGCAGTGGGGAGGACACACTGTTTGGGGAAGAGGAGCTATGGAGCTGGGAGGAGGAAGAACGCAGGGTAGGCATGGCGATCCAGCTGGGGAAAGAGAAAGAAAAAAGCTCCTTTTTCCACCTTTATCCACACCATTTGCTCACCCTCAACCCTGACCAGTCAGTCACTTTCTTTCCAAGGGAACTACTCAGGAACTTAGGCGGAGCACAAAAAAAATAAGACAAAAAGTTGACCTAAGGTATTAAGGGATTAAAGACACTCTTGGCCCCAGAAACTGGGTCCGGGGTGGGGGTGGGAGGTTGTCGTTGCTCTCTTAAGAACCGAGCAAGGCATACATCTGGGCAGCTTCACACACACCCCTCCTCAGAGACCTGGAAAGGAAATTTAGACCAAGGACCCCGGACTTTATTTCTAGAAGGCCAGGACCTGATTACACAGGAATGTAATAGGAAGCTCTTAATGACTTGGGGGTGGAGGGCCCACTGGAACGGTGCTGGAAACGCTTAAAGAGTAAAAGGCACGCGTTCTGGTTTCCAAGGTGTTATCCACGACTGATTGTGGTAAGCTTCTTTGGTCTAAGGAGCCTTCCCACCGCTCTTGGGGCCTGGAGACGGGATTCTCCAGCTCCAGTGGAGAAGCCACTGAGACCCCGACTAGGGAGGCTCCTCCTGTCAGGGTCAGGAGGGTGGGGGCAGGGTGTATTCTTGGGTCAAAGAGGAGCCTCACTGTCCGAGTCCGGAAGAGCGACTTCTGACTGAGCAGGATTCAGGCAAGGTCACAGCCTCAGGTCCCTCAGGCTTCTGTGGTCACGCCACTTTCGGCACAGACACCCTCCGTTTCCCTTCCGCTGGTGAAAAAGGGCAGAAAAAAAGCGGGAAGGCACGAGGCGCGCTGTGCGCAGGCGCAAGCCCAACGGCTCGCCCCAGGGGTAGTAATTGTCGCGAGGTTTGGGAGTGTGTGAGCTCGTGCTTACCACGTTCCATTCGCGCCGCTCTACAGCCTCGTGCGGCAGCGAGCTCTGGAGCGTGCAGTACTGTCACGTGGGCTCAGGCACGCGGGCCGCCAACTTTAGCCCTGCTCCACCCCACCCCTTTGCCCCCAATATACCCCTTCCATACAACAGACTTCGTATTAGACTCTCAGTAGCCTCTTCAATGTGGCTTCTCAACTGCCATAGGGTGGGTTTTACCCAGGCCCCGCCTCTCGATCCGGATTAACCACGCCCCTGTTCCACCAACCTCCTTTAGTACGGCTGTGTCCCGCCCCCTTCCCGAGATTCCTCACTACATTGGTTTAATTTCTCCATTGACTCCGCCCCCGAGGACGGCTCCTTACCTTCATTGGCCGGACCTCACCTCGGGCCCTGCCCCCGGTACGGCTCCGGGCTCCCATTGTCTTGGCAGATGCCGCCTACTCCAGCTATCGTGCTCTGTATTCAGTTTTCGGGGGTCGAACTCTTTCTAGGTCCCGCGGCGGAAAACCGGATTTCCGAGTTTGAGCGGCTCTTATTTCCTGCTTAGGACCCACTTTGCCGCCCCAGGGTGGCTGCAGCTATGTCCTCGCTGCGACCCTTCCTGCTTCTGCTGCTGCCTCTGTGTCCGGGTCCTGGTCCCGGACTGGGGAGCGAGGCAAAGGTCATCCGGAGTTGTGCAGAAACCCGGGAGGCGCTGGGGTCCCGAGGATATAGCTTAAACCTAATCCCTCCCGCCATGATCTCAGGTGAGGAGAAAGAGGAAGATTAGAGAATTAGGGGTGGAGGGCGGGGGCGGGTCCTCCCCATCTCACAATAACTCTGTTCCCTTTCAGAGTGACCGTTACGATCATTTTTTCATCCCATAATAATGCCTCTCCTCCTGTAACTTCCTTAACGTGGTCACAATAACCTTCCTGTGCACAGAATAGCTGTCTTATTCACCACCACCCCCAGGAATCCCTTCCTCATAATTAGCAACCCCCATGTGTTTCTTTCTTCACAGCCATGTTCTCTTCGGTATTTCTCTGAGCCCCTTCTATGATACTTCATGCTCACCAAGTAATCCCACCCCACCACATCCCATTCTTCATCCTATAGAAGCTGTCCTACAAATCCTTTAAGGTCAGGGTGTGTGATGTTGGAGAAGGTTACCTGAGGACACTCCAACCACTAATTTGTCCTTCGGGGCACTTGTCAAATAGGTGATCCCATGGCAAATGGGAATGGACTTGGGATGGGTGAGGGAATTCGGTCAGGTGGGGATGAGGAAGCAGACAATAGAAAAGACACCAGACAGATAGAAGAGAAGGAATTCTCCGCACTCTGAGATAGGTGACATATGAAAGGAATTTCATATCACTTCCTACCATTCCTCTATATCTTCCCTGTCCAGGTGAGCACCTCCGGGTCTGTTCCCAGGAGTACACCTGCTGTTCCAGTGAAATAGAGCAGAGGCTGATGAAGGAGTCTGAAGCCACCTTTCGAAGCTTGATGGAGGACAACAGCTCCTTCCTGGTTCATACCCTGGCTGTCCAGCACAGAAAATTTAATGGTGAGGACCTGGGTTTTCCGAGCCTGGCTTCACACCTCTTCTATGTGCTCATGACCACAACAGGCTTCCTGTCCCTACTCCCTACTCCATCCCTAAGGTACTCTATTCCCTCCCAGTCCTGGCTTAGCCCCGCATTCCTGCTTAAGCCTCCCAAGTAGATGGGATTACAGAGTCTCTGCAGGGCCCTGCCCTCCCCTATTCCCAGTTTCTGACTTCACTTGTCTTTTCCCTTCTTTCTCCTTCCCATCCCTCTTGGCCTCACCCCATCTATTCCCTGCATTTACCGCAGAGTTTTTTCGGGACATGCTCTCGGTAGCCCAGCACTCCCTGACCCAGCTCTTCTCCCACTCCTACGGCCGCCTGTATGCCCAGCACGCCCTCATATTCAATGGCCTGTTCTCTCGGCTGCGGGACTTCTATGAGAAGTCTGGTGAGGGGTTGGATGACACCTTGGTGGACTTCTGGGCACAGCTCCTGGAAAGAGCGTTCCCCCTGCTGCACCCACACTACAGCTTTCCCCCTGACTACCTGTTCTGCCTCTCGCGCCTCGCCTCCTCTACTGATGGCTCTCTGCAGCCCTTCGGGGACTCACCCCGCCGACTCCGCCTGCAGGTGAGGGTTCCTGAGGCCTGAGCTTCAGTCACTTCTGACCTAGTGACCTCTAAATTGTGCACTACTCACCTCCAAACTAATGTGCTCCAGTCACCCTTGACCTGGTGACACCCTCACACACTGCATTGCATCATCTCTGACCTGGTGACCCCTATCTCGAGCCTCAGTCACCCGTACCTGACCCAGTGCTCCTGGTCTCCTTTAAGTGGACACCCCTACCCCCATTCTGGGGCTTCTTTCACACATTTATTTACCCTTGGCCCCCAGCTACCTTTCTGCCAACTCTTTGTTTTTTGAGACAGTCTCACTCTGTCACCTGGGCTACAATGCAGTATTGTCATCATGGTTCACTGCAACTTCAAAGTTCTGGGCTCAAGTAATCCTCCTGCTGCAGCCTCCCGAGTAGTTGGGATTACAGGCAAGCACCACCCAGCCCAGGTAGTTTTTCCATTTTTAGTAGAGATGGGATCTTACTCTTGCTCACACTGGTCTAGAACTCCTGAGCTCAAGCGATCCTCCTGCCTCAGCTTCCCAGAGTGCTAGGATTACAGGCATGAACTTCCTTTGGTTCAACTAAACAGGAATTAGGCATTCCATATATATATATTTTTTTTTTTTTTTTTGAGACAGAGCCTCAAGCTGTTGCCCTGGGTAGAGTGCCATGGCATCACAGCTCATAGCAGCCACCCACTCTTAGGCTCAAGCGAGTCTCCTGCCTCAGCCTCCCAAGTAGCTAGGAGGCACAGGCACCCGCCACAACGCCCGGCTATTTTTTGGTTGCAGCCGTCATTGTTGTTTTTGGCGGTCCTGGGCTGGATTCGAACCTGCGACCTTAGGTGTATGTGGCTGGCACCTTAGCCGCTTAAGCTACAGGCACGGAACCTAGGCATTCAATATTTAAGAGGAATTTTTTCTTTTTTTTTTTTTTTTGACCGAGCCTCAAGCTATCCCCCCTGGGTAGAGTGCCATGGCATCACGCTCACAGCAACCTCCAACTCCTGGGCTCAAGTGAGTCTTCTGCCTCAGCCTCCCAAGTAGCTGGGACTACAGGCGCCCGCCACAACGCCTGGCCATTTTTTGGTTGCAGCCATCATTGTTGTTTGGCGGGCCCGGGCAGGGGATTCGAACCCGCCACCTTAGGTGTATGTGGCTGGCGCCTTAGCCACTTGAGCCACAGACGCCAAGCCAGGCATTTTCACATATAATATGGCATTTAACTGTCATCATAACTTTGCGAGGTAGATATCCTTATCTTACAGATGAGAAAACAGGATTCTACAGGCATTTTCACATATAATATGGCATGTAACTGTCATCATAACTCTGCAAGGTAGTTATCTTTATCTTACAGATGAGAAAACAGGATTCTATAGGTTAAGGTCTCACAGACAGTACAAGTGGCAAAGCTGTATCTCACACCGAGGTCTTCTGGCTTCAAGTTCAGTGTTAGTTCTGATACACATTCTATCTCCAAGCCATGTATAACACAGTCCTCCCCGTCTCCCCCCAAACCTGGTTCCCCTAATCCTTTTAGACTATAATTCCTGTGAGCCTCTTGAACCTGCCTCTTTCTATACCACCAGACACTCTCCTCATCCTAAGAAAATCTCACAGCCCTAACCCCCACTGCTTATCCCTTTAGTACAATCTCTTGGCCCCAGTCTTGACTGACTCATGACAACCTGTGGTTTTTCTCCTCTTCTTTCTTTTACCCCAGATAACCCGGGCCCTTGTGGCTGCCCGGGCCTTTACCGACAGCCTAGAGACTGGAAGAGAGGTGATCAGTGAGGCACTTAAGGTTAGAGGGCTTGAATGTGGGCAAGACTCAGGGAGGGAGGGACAGAAGTGGGAAAGGCCTCAGAAGGAAAGGTCAAGCACCAGCTGGGAAGAGAGGACTGGGGCCTGCCCATATTGGCCTCGGAGCCCGAGCCCTCGTGTCCCAAGGAGGGGGCTAAAGTCTGCCCTGGATCATGATCCATGGTCTCCTACATCCCTGACCCTCTCCTGCCCTCTGATGACTCACAGCCCTTGCCAGTCCCCAGGGGCATATTCATCTCCATAGCAATCAGGATTGGAGTATTGGGCCCCTCTGGATCCTCTAGAACCCCTCAGGGATTCCCCTTCCCTGTTACTAAAGGCGATATTCCTGGCTTGGCCTCTCTCACCTCCAATCCTCCCCTGACCTCCCAGCCCCACCTCCTGCCTCACTGTCTCTTCCCTCCCCAACTATCATGGGCTCACTCTTGTTCTGGAATCATCTCAGACCTCCGACTGCCTCTCTAGTTCTACTCCCATGAAACAGTATCTGTGACCTGTCCCCTAGTAACTTCTGTCCTCAGATCTGTAGCAGCCTTGTAGTATCACCTGCTGCTGTGTGGGCTCACGAACCCTATGTATTGACACCCAGCTCCCCAAACAGAACCTGAAGAAGGTGCAGTTGGATATTTGACTTCTCCCTGTGCCCAGCACCAGTGTTAGCTGAGAGCAACCAGGGTGTTTGTGGATGACACAGCTGTGTTCTTTACTCCCAGGTGCAGGTGTCTGAAGGCTGTCGCCAGGCTCTGATGCGTCTGATTGGCTGCCCCTTTTGTCAGGGGGTCCCCTTACTTAAGCCCTGCCAGGGCTTCTGCCTCAATGTGGTTCGTGGCTGTCTCAGCAACAGAGAACTGGAGCCTGACTGGAGCAGCTATCTGGGTGAGGGGATTCATGAAAGCCTGTAATAAAGGAGGGCCTTGAATATGGCTAGGGCAGGTGTAGGGGGCAGGTGAGGTGAGCTGGGGTAAAGCCACATGGAGGTGGAAGGTGTGAGGGGGTTCTTGTCATGTAATCCCCCCAAATACTTTGCTGCTCCTCTCTAAGGCCTGAGTGAGGATGTATGGGAACATCCCAGTTCAGTGAGTGTCACCCCTCATTCCACCCTTTCTCTTTCTCTATCTCCTTCTAGATAGTCTCTTGCTCCTGGCTAAGAAGCTCCAGGGCCCCTTTTCCTTTGAGCTGGCTGCTGAGTCTATTGGGGTGAAGATCTCAGAGGGTTTGATGTATCTACAGGAAAACAGTGTGAAGGTGTCCACCCAGGTACAGGGAAGAAAAGGGAGGAGGTGAAGCCTGGGGCAAGGGGGACAGAGTAGGGGTGTCAGCCCAGGTTCAGGAAAGATAACAGCAGAAGTGAAGCCTGGGGTGGGGGACAGTGTGGGTAACAGGGAGACATGGTAGGGTATCTGGGGAGATGTGGAGTATCAGGGAAAACTGTCGGGTTAGATTAGAGACACAGGATAGGTTTTTTGTTTGTTTGTTTGTTTGTTTGTTTTTTGCAGTTTTTGGCCAGAGCTGGGTTTGAACTCCCCACCTCAAGCATATGGGGCTGGTGCCCTACTCCTTTGAGCCACAGGCGCCACCCTCAGGATAGGTTTTACTGCAGGGTGACTGTGTGTGAGGTCTCTCCCTGTGCTGCAGGTATTTCAAGAATGCGGTCCCCTACACAAGGTGCCAGCCAGAAACCGCAGGACCCCTAAGCTGTCTAGGGAAGACGCGGGCCGGCGGAGGGTGTTGGTGGCCCAGGAGGAGCGGCCCACTACGGCAGCAGGCACCAACATGCACCGGCTGGTGAGTGGAGGTTCAGGCGGGGGGGCGGGGAGCTGACGGAGAGAGGGGCGCTCCAGCTCGCGCCGCCCCCTCTTTCTCTCTCCCACACTCCCAGGTGTGGGAGCTCCGCGAGAGGCTGGGCAGGATGCGGGGCATCTGGGCCCGGCTGTCCCTGACAGTGTGCGGAGACTCCCGCATGGCAGTAGACGTCTCGCAGGAGGACGCACCCTGCTGGACGGGATCCGGACGGGGCCGGTGAGGCGCATGGGCGGCGTGGTAGGGGTCGACAGGGCTGGAGGTCTGCGCGGGCGGGCGGAGCTTCGGGGCTGCTCTGTTCGTAGATACTTGCCACCAGTGGTCGGGGGATCCGCAGCGGAGCAACACAACCCTGAGCTGCAGGTGGATGTCTCGCGCCCCGATGTGTCAACACGGCGGTGGCGGCTTATGCTTCGGGCGGCCACAGCCAGGATGAAGGCGGCCACTGTTGGACATAATTTGGACGGGCCGGACCGGGGTGAGACCTGGGTGCCCCCAAATCTAAGCTCCACCCATTGCTTTTCAAGTCCCTACCCTGGCTTCGTAGTTCCCACCCCTGCTTCTCTACTGGTAACATTCATTCATTCATTCATTGATTTAACAAGCGTCTATTGATCGCTGACCTTAAGCATAAAAAGTAGACAACCAGTGAGTGGGTCTCTATCTTGGAATTTATGGCCCTGTGGAGGAGACATGCAAACATTATTACAGAACAGTGGGAAGCTTCTTATTATGGGCAAAAGGCCATGGGAAGATGAGGGAGGCACAGGGGGCAGTGGCATTGGGCTGGTCCCCTAAGGTGGAATTTGCCATAGAATCAAGGCATATACTCATTTTTTCTTTCTCCTTTTAATCTGTCTGTCTCTGTCTCTCTGTCATTCTCCCTCACCCCCTTCTTGGTGGCTCTCTGCTTCTTTGTACTTTGCTTTTTCTGTCTTTTCCTGTTTATCCTCTCTCCCCATCTGCCTCTCTTTTTCTGCCCCCCCCCCCGCCTTCCTGTCACTCACTGTCTTTCTCCCTCCTCCCTACTTCATGGATCTACCTGTTTGTCTCCTGCCTCTTTTTCTGTTTTTATCTCAATTTCTCTTCCTTCTTATTTGTCTCCCTCTCATCTCCCCTGCATCTTTTCCCCGTTGCTGTCTTTCTGTGTCTCTCCTTGCAGATGAGGACGCCAGCGGGTCTGGAGGAGGACAGCAGTATGCAGATGACTGGATGGCTGGGGCAGCAGCTGTGGCCCCTCCAGTCCGGCCTCCTCGGCCTCTTCGGCCTGCGAGCCCTCCTCGGAGAGACAGTTTTGGAAAAAGAGGAGGAGGTGGCAGAGGAGGAGGTGGCAGTGCCCGACACAACCAGGGCAGAAGCAGGAGTGGGGGGCTATCTGTTTTTGTTCATACCCAACCCATCCTCATTCTTTCCCTCTCAGCCCTGACCCTGCTTGGACCTCGATAACAGGGGAGGGGCGCCCTAGCATTAGAAGGGTTCAAGGCCTTTTCCCCTGCTCCCCCCTCAGCTGGGTCTGGGGAGGAGTTTGAGGGGTCTGCAGAGAGGGTGAATGGACTTTGCAGGTAAATGTCTGGGGCCCCAAATCCAGGAGATTTCCCTTGGGGAGTTGAAGAGAGTTGGATGTTCACAATATTTATTTTTTCATTTGGTAAGGGGGGGGGCTGAAAGTATTTATTTAGGAGGGATTGTGGTCTGCTTAAGAGGGTGTAGCCTTCAGCTCTTTAAGGCTGGAGATCAGCCTAACATGGGAGAAAGGGGGCAGTTTTAGACTTACAGTTGGGAGATGAGGCTTGAAGAAAGTTGTAAGTGGGAGGGGTGGAATGCTAATGGGTTGGGTGCACCTGGTCTCAGAAATGGACAAAGCTGAGTACTGAAGTACTGATTGGTTGCAGGGCAGGGGACTGGGGTGTGAGTAGGATATGAGGTTCTGTGGGCTGACATTCTGCTGAGTATTTTTAGCATCAATTTCTTAAATTAAAAATTTTGTAAATCTCAACTCATGACTGTGTCCTCAACATCTGTCACAAACTCCCAAGTTTCATGTTTTAGTGTTTGAGTCTGTTTTTCTTCAAATAAATGGTAATTTATTGGACCCTGGTGTGGCTTTCTGTGCCTTCAGCATCAGTCCCTTAGTCCTGGCTCCTAGCAGAGACCCCAAGGCTTCTGAGACTGGCTCAGTTTCTGTCTCTCTTTGAACCTGTCCCTAGGACACAGGCTGAGGAGTGACACACACATCCCAGTCTCTAAGTTGTCCAACTTAAAAGGGAGAATGGTAGGGACAATTTAGGAACTGTATGAGGAAGTGCCTTGTCACCTACAAAATGCTGTTTGAACACCGAGGCATTCAGAATAGTACCACACCACTGTCCCCTACCTTCAGGGTGAGGGACCTCGTTCTTTGAGTGTCAGCCACTGGCTACCTCCTCAAGTCCTTGACAATGTCTCCTTTTAACTCTAGTCTATCACTTTTTTCTTTCTTTCTGAAGCCTGAATGAATCTTTTGTTCTGCAGAAAGCTGAGAGAAAAGGTAGAATAGATTAGTGAGTGTGAAAGGAGGGTGGAAATGGCGTCTTCCAAGGGCAGGCTAAGTGCCCAGGCTGAGGGCAAGATGCAGGGGAGGGGAGACCAAGAGACGCGATGGAAGACTGAGCAGCTGCTCGAGCTGGCAGACAAAGGGAGGGGGGAGGAGCCAGCGCCGAGAAAGTTTGTGGGGAAAGTTGAGCTGAGCAAGGAGCCGGGCGTTGGCTGGGGCAGGCGGGAGGGCCCTGCAGATTTCCCTGCTGCTCCCCTTGTGGCCTGGTGAGTGGGCAAGTGAAGCAACTCTCGAATTCTTGGGAGGAGACCCGAGGGGCTCATAGAACTACAGGGTGGGGGCCAACAAAAGGCTGACAGTAGACTGAGCAGTAATCAAAGCTGAAGGGTACAGAGAGGTGGGATGGGGATAATGGGAAGAGGAAGACAGATGGAAGGAAATGAACTCAGGACAGGAGAGTCGTGGCTGATTCTGGGGTCTGTGCTGGGGGTAGGTAGGAATTGGAGAATCATGCCAGAGGAGGTGGGTCTAGGTAGGAGAATGGATTCTCTCTGCCTGGGCTTACCTCTGTCAGGGAAGGGGGCTGTCTGCACTTACTTGAGGGGTCGTGGTCGGTGATTGGAAGTTATAATCTGAAGGGGCAGGGCCAAAGTCTTGGTGGATTAGGAAACTCAGTATTTGTGTCACAGAGTTTCTTGCTCTCCAGCCCCACCCTCTCAGTCTTCTATGGGTACACTGATAGGGTAGGAAAGTGGGATGGGGGTGTGTCCAGGGATCTGGGCTTTTCTCTCTCACTGGAGTCTGCCCCGTGCTGAAAGAGAGGAGAAAGAGGTGCCTGAGTTTACTACACAATGGCTCTTACTTATGTCAAAGCCACTTATATAAATCTAACCTCCCTTCTTCCTGCTTAGGTTCATCAACCTGTGTCCTGTCTGCTCCTGGTTCCCTCCTTATGGCTTCTCACCCCCACTTGAGACAGAGAGGCTTAGGAGAAAGCCAGGGCCTGCCTCAATCTGACCTGTCATAATGAGCTGATTAGTCTGATCTCTGGCTGGCTGTTTCATTCATGATCTGAGTCTCTTATTTCCCTTCCAAATCCCTGAGTCTTAGAGGGAACCATGGTGGGGGGGGTGGGGTGGAGAGGATGGAGCCAAGAAAGAGGATGACAGTAGAGGGAGTAGTTATGAGACCACGTAGAAGACTTTAGGTGTTGACAGCCCCCAGTTCGTTCCCTCCCTGAGTGAGGTAGGTCTCAGCTGCAGCAGGAGGGGAGACTCTACCTCAGACTCCCCTCCTTCCCCCTCATTTTCCTTCTAGACGCTGACAGAGGCAAAAATCTGCTAACTCAGGGGGCAGGCTCAACCAAAGCTGTGAACAGGCCTGGGGAATGACCCCCCGAAATCCAACCAGTGCCTTCCGTGGCTGCAGGGCTGTCTCGAGCCGTCTCTGCCTCTGTACCCTGTCCTGGCTCTGTCCCTTTCTAGCTTCACCCTTCCCTGTACTACATGGGCCCTCTGTCTCCTACCAGGACGATGCGGTTCTGGGGGCCTCGGAGCCTGGGGGTGGCTCTGGGAGTCTTCATGACCATCGGATTTGCCCTCCAGCTCTGGGGGGGACCTTTCCAGAGGTGAGTTCCAATCTTGTCCCAGCTCCCTACAAATGCCCCCACTTCCTCCCTCCCATACCACTTGGGGTTTTGACTCTCAGGGACTCCATGCCCTCTGGTCCTCTCCACAAGAAGCCTATCCACTTACTACTGAAGGATAGGACACTTGCCATCCATCTTTTCCCAGGCTACCCAAGCTGCAGCTCCGACATCCCTGGGCCCCATCCCCAAGACCAGCCTCTCCGTCCTGCCCACCCCAGCAGCGGCTAGTGTTCCTGAAGACGCATAAATCGGGGAGCAGCTCTGTGCTGAGCCTGCTTCATCGCTACGGGGACCGGCACGGGCTGCGCTTCGCTCTCCCTGCCCGCTACCAGTTCGGCTACCCAAGGCTTTTCCAGGCCTCTCGGGTCAAAGGCCACCACCCCCAGGGTGGAGACACCCAGTTCCCCTTCCACATCCTCTGTCACCACATGAGGTTCAACCTGAAAGAGGTGAGGGGTGTAGTGGGGGGTGGATGGGGTTGGACATCACTTTCACCCAAAAGTTGGACATGGGGGCCAGTCACAGGGAGAAATTTCCTATTGCCCTCTGTTCATGTATCCCTTCCCCAGTAGCTTCTGGGAGCCAGAGTCCTCCTCTCTCCCATCTGGTGCTACCCCAGTCTCTTTCCTTTACCAATTTATTTCTTTGGTGTCATTGGCCTGCCAGTTGAGCTCCGAACTCGTACCTCCAGGTCCCCCTGGCCCTCCTCAGTGTCTCTTCCACTGCCACTAGAGGGCCCCTGCTCCTCCACTGCCTCCTGACTTTTCTTCCTCTCATTCCCCCACTATGTCTGCCATATATTTCTTTTTGCTAATTTTGTCCTTTTTGCTAATTTTTTTGTAGAGATGGGCTCTTGCTATGTTGTCCAGGTTGGTCTTGAACTCCTGGGCTCAAGTGATTCTCCCCCTTTAACCTCCCAAAGTGCTGGGATTATAGGCACTGCCCTTGGTCATCTGCCACATTTTGAGGCAGGATCTAGGCTGCAGGCTGTGCTTGCGGCTCAAGGAGTAGGACGCTGACCCCATATGCCAGAGGTGGGCAGTTCAAGCCCAGCCCTGGCCAAAAACTGCAAAAAAAAAAAAAAAAAAAAGATCTAGGCTGAGCATAGCAAAATAATTGGGTGGAAACTGAGTCCTGACACCTAGAAGCCTCAGTTCTAATGGGGAGATGAGCACAGCCCACATAGGAACCCAAGATTGTCAGAAGAAAATCAACATGCAAATGAAAATATACATGGGGAGGAACTAACCTTTACTGAGTATTTACTGAGTGCTGGGTACTAATCTTACCATCACCTTTACAGGAAGGCATTATAAGTGTCTCTAATACACATACAAAAAGTTTGAGTCTCAGAGAGGCTAATTGACCTCCTTAAACACATAGACAGTGATAGAGCTAGGATTTGAACCCAGGTCCACATACTCTAAACTCAAGGCTGCTTCTGAGGTATGTGTATGTGTGCTTGTATCCAAATGGTGTCCATCAAAAGATATGGAACTTTCTGGAGAGATGGGTTTTTTTTTTGAGACAGAGTCTCACTATGTTGCCCTCAATAGAGTGCTGTGGCATCATAGCTCACAGCAATCTCACACTCTTGGGCTTAAGTGAGTCTCTTGCCTCAGCCTCTCAAGTAGCTGAGACTATAGGCATCTGCCACAACAGGCTATTTTTTTTTTTTTT